AGGACTAACACTTCTTTTTATGATGGTTTTGCATTTTAATTATTTCAGGTCTGTGTTTGTGGAACTATAAATTGCCTTATTGTGAAAGCAAATAACAGTATGCACACTTCATGGAACAGATGAAAACTTGAAATTCTTTTTAAAAATAAATATTTAAAAAGAAACTCACATTTAAAACTAAAATTTTTAAAAACATTCATGAAAATAAAAGTTGGGTGAGCCCAAATACCCAGGTTCAATAGTCAAAAACATCTTGCCATATTTATCTTATCTCTATTCTTGGAAACAGTACGTTTTATGTCTGAAGTTCTTTAAAGCAGATGACAGACGGTCTATCGTTTACTATTAAATATTCCAACATATGTCAGAAAGGGACCACATAGTGAACAGTTTCTATATTCAGTAAAAATCATAAAGCAATGCAACAGAACAGAGACCAAACATATTGACCATGTGAATGCATGCATGCAAGTTTTTTTTCATTTACAGCTAAGGAAGAAGATAGAAAGATTGCTGTCCACAGCTGAAAGGGGGCATGTCTAAAATTAAGTGATTTCAAAGATTAAAAGTTATTGTGGAGGGGAAGGGTACCAGAGAGGGGTTCAGAGATAGGGAGGATAGGGAGAGTAATGGGAGATGGATAGGAACAAAGTTTAATGTATATGCATAACCCACTACATTATATACTAACTAAAATAATTTCTAAAAATAGGAACTTTAAAAACATCTAAGTCAGAGGGTCTTGATATAATCAAAACAGGGTTAAAGTAAAAAAAAAAAAAAGCATTAAGAAAGACAAACCAGGATATTTTATAATGCTAAAGGCAGAAAATTACTACGATTATACCAAAGCTACCTTTTCATCCTGCTGGACCACAGCAGCTCCTCAGCGGCAGCACCTGTGAGAGACGAGAACTGCGCCCTGGGGATTGTCACAGCACCCTGGTTAGGAGGAAGACGTGAGGACAGAACACTGGCGCAGATAGACAGAACCCCAGCGACACCTCAATGTTTGCAGCTTGTCATCCATGTGGGGACGTCAGCACCGATGGGAGGCCATGTGCCTTCTTTTCAGATGAAGAGTCCTGGGAACGAAAGCTAGTGAGATCTCACAGAGAGAAGTGAGAGTCGAACCGTCTCTTAATATTTCATAGCTCTTTCAAAATCTGAAAATGTGTGAATTTGTCTTTCATGGCCTCTGCCATCGGACCTGGGGTTTCTGGGGTGATATGTGGCTTTTCTGTATTAAAAATAAGCATTGGGGGGAGATTTTAGAATTGGAGTTTGAAACTCTTTTCTTCATGTATGTTCAGCCCTAACTTTTAAAGAATCCTCCAGTTTAGCTTCACATGAGATTTCCACACTTTTTTTTTAGTTCCAGCATTGGCACATGATATTTCACACACAGGGAATGATGTCTCTCCAGGTAAGAGCACTGGCTGCTCTTCCATAGGACTAAACTTTGATTCCCAACACCTACGTGGCAGCTCACAACTGTCTGTGATTCCAGTTCCAGGGGGATCCAATGCCTTTTTTTTTTTGGAGGGTCTCCTCAGGAATCAGGCGTGCATGTAATGCACACACATACATGTAGGCAAAACACATAAAATAGAATAAAATATTTTTTAAAAATTAAACACCTGTTGATTTATTGTTGAGTTTTAAGAACTCTATATGTTTTGAATACAAGTCCTTGGTCAGATATGTGTTTTATAGATGTTTTTCCTAGTTTGTCACTTGTTGCTTCATTTTTTTTAAGTAATTTATTTTTATTTTGTGTTCATTGGTGTTTCACCTACATGTATGTCTGTGTGAGGGTGTCAGAAGGCCTGGAACTGGAGTTACAGACAGTTGTGAGCTGCCATGTGGGTGCTGGGAATTGAACCCGGGTTCTCTAGAAGAGCAGTCACTGCTCTCAACCACTGAGCCATCTCTCCAGCCCTCTTGTTGCTTCATTTTTAATGTCTTCCACACGATGAAAGCTTTTCATTTTAACAACATCCAACTTACCTTTTTTTATCATGTTTTTAGCATTGTGTCTTACAATTTACCACCAAACACAAGCTCATAAATTGTCTGCTTTGTTCTGTTGTATAGTTTTGCATGCTGCCTGTAGCATAGGTGTATAATCCACTTTGATTTAAACTTTCTGAAAGGTATAATATTAATACCAAGGATTTTGTTTTTGTTTAGGCATGTGGCATTTCTTCAGCACCATTGATGAAGAGACTGAATCTTTCTCTATTGCATTCACTGTACCCTAATTTCACACATCACTTGACTATTTACGGGCATCCATTTTGAACTATTTTTCCACTGACCTATGAACTGATTATGTTTTAGTTAATAGAACATTATTTTGATTATTGTAGCATTACAGTAGGGTGGTTTTATTGTTCTTATGTAACATTAGATCTCATGTAGCTCCGGCTGACCTACATAGCCAAAGCTAGTCTTGAATTCCTATGCCCCATGCTTCTGCCTTCAGAGTACTGAGATTACAGGCTTCTAACACCATCCTTTCCTCTAAAATAAGTCTTAAAATCAGGTCCTGTGAGTCCTTCAGCTTCCTCTTTCAATGTTATGCTGACTATTCCAGGACATTTACTTTTCATCTGAAATCTGACAGTCACTTTGTCAATGGCAACAAAATGCTATGCTTCAATTGTGACAGACATTTCATTGAACTTATAGATTAACTTGTAAGATATTAGTAACTTAACATTGTTTTCCTACCTGTGAATATAGACTATCTTTCCATTTTATCCAGATTTTTAAATTTATTTTATCAGAAATTTGTATTTTGGTGCAATTCTAAGTGTCTTCCCAATCTTCACAAGCAAGTGTTGGTGGGGAGGTGAATAAAGAGCTTTTGGGCACTGTTAGTGGGTTGCTAATTGGTGCAGCCACTATGAAAATAGTATTGAAGGTCCTCAAAATTCTTATATGTGACTATTGTAAGACACAGCAATTTCCATACAGGGTACGTGTCCAAAGGAAGTGAAATCTTTATGTCAAACAGATATCTGAACTCCCAAGTTCATGTCAGCATGATCCACTACGGCAAAGTTATGAATCAACCTATGTGTCCACCAGTAGATGAACAAAGGAAATGTCACATTTGTGGATCATAAAATGCTATTTGGAATTAGAAGAAGAAAGGAAGTCCTCTCATCTACCTCATGGATTTTGAAATGTTTGTTTTTTTTTTTTTTTTTTTGTTTTGTTTTGTTTTTTCGAGACAGGGTTTCTCTGTGTAGCTTTGCGCCTCTCCTGGAACTCACTTGGTAGCCCAGGCTGGCCTCGAACTCACAGAGATCCGCCTGGCTCTGCCTCCCGAGTGCTGGGATTAAAGGCGTGCGCCACCACCGCCCAGCAGGATTTTGAAATGTTAAAGTAGGGGCTGGGACTGGGCGGTGGTGGTGCATGTCTTTAATTCCAGCACTTGGGAGGCAGAGCCAGGCGGATCTTTGTGAGTTGGAGGCCAGCCTGGGCTACAGAGTGAGTTCCAGGAAAGGCTCCAAAGCTACACAGAGAAACCAAAAATAAATAAATAAATAAATAAATAAATAAATAAATAAATAAATAAATAAATAAATAAATAAATAAAGTAGGGGCTGGACAGATGGCTCAGTGGTTGAGAGTGCTTGCTTCTCTCCCAAAGTATCAAGCATTCACATCCTATGACTTAACAACCACCTGCAACTCCAGCTCTAGGAATCTGACGCCTTCTTCTGGCTTTCCTGGACACCTGTATACACACACACACACACAGAGAGAGAGAGAGAGAGAGAGAGAGAGAGAGAGAGAGGAAAGAGATAAATACATACATAAATAAATAAATAAATAAATAAATAAATAAATAAATGGATGAAATAAGTCTTTGAAAAACTCATCAAAGCAAAGTATAGAATGGTAGTTATGGAGGCAGAAAATAGATGTGGGATTTGGGAGACATTAGCCAAACTGCAACAAACTTCCATTAGATGGGAGTGAGGTCAAGGGATCTATTATGCAATATGGTGAGTTTAGTGAATGAAAATATATTGAAAATTGCCCCCAGACATGCATACAGCTATATCAAAGATGGTAGTGTAAGCCTGTCATCCCAGCATATAAGAGGCTGAAGTTAGAGGGTCCTGAGTTTGAGGCCAACCTAAACCACATAGTTGAGTCCCTGGCCAACTTGAAATATGTGGTGAATCCCTGTCTCTAAAAAAAAATGCTGAAAAATCTTATTCTTTGCCACAAACAGACAACTGTGCATATATAATTTTCTTTGTCTTATTATTCCAAGTTGTGTTGTAAACTATAAATATATACAGTCTTTCAAATTCAAAAAACAATTAAAATAAAAATTCATATATTAGGATAAAGAAAAAACACTTTAAAAATTATTGAACCAACCAATCTAGTCTTCTTCTGTCTTTATGGGACAACAAAATCCTTGTACAGGTAAGAATTCATACGCATAACTTTTTTCTATATTGGAAATGTATCTTGACTCCATGAGTCACAAAACCAGGAATCGGCTACAGGCATCACCTATAATGTTATGATGTCTTTCCTAGAGGGGATAAAATATGGACTGAAAATATAAATGAAGGGGAGGAAAAGACCGAGTGTGGCAGTATAACATATTCATATTCTCTAAGAAAAAATAATTTTATATTTTTCCATATACAGGACATATGTATGTTGTGCTAATTTTACAATTGTACAATTTTATTTTGAGTGCCCTTGTAAATAGCATTTATTCATTCTTTGTGTCTCTGAAAGCTCAGTGTTCACTGCTGATACACAGAAAATTGACTGACTTTATGTACTCATTGTGTTCTGTGACTTTGCTAAAAATGCTAAGTAATTTCAGAAGTGTCTTTTTGTTTATTCTTCTGGATTCTGTACATAGATAACCATGTCATCTGAGAAAAGAGGACAATTTGTTTATAAATCTGCACACTATTCGCCATTTTTTCCTTTTCTTATCTGCACCATCCAAGACTCACGCTATGCCATTAAAAAAGGATTGGAAAGAGAAGATACCGAAGATACCAACACTCTATTTGCCACGTGAGAAGGAAGAAACCCAGCTCCTCACCATCAGATGACAATACCTATTTTTTTTTGGTGTAGATATATACATTTTAAAACATAATTACATAAACTATATGTATGTTTACATATAATTTAAAAGAGATTTTTAAGCATATAGGACTTTCTGTAGATTTTCGAAGATGAGAAAGATCTCCTCCATTGCTGGTTTGCTGGGAGCTTTTTTTAGGAATGTGTTTCAGACATTGCTAAATTCTCTGTCTTCATATATGATATGCTCAGGGGGCTTTTTTAGGTTTTCTTGTGGTGGTAGAATGCAAGGATTGGCCTTTGAACATTATGGCCTTATAGGTTTATACTTCATCCTGGTATTGATTTAAACAAATTGTGAGATGTTACTTACCAGTGTTAAACTGGAGATTTTTGTATCCATATCACTAACAAGTAGTGGCTGGTTTTCATTTCTTGTAATGTTTCTATCTGATTTGAGTTCTGATATAATATCAGCCTTTTGTAATAAGTAGGTGAATGGTCTGTACACTTTAGTCACTGAAAGAGAGTGTGTAGTAGTGGCATCACATCTTTATCTCTTCATTAAGCATTTGGTAGGATTTACTGGTGAGGCTGTCTTGGCCAGGTGATTTTATTTATTTATTTATTTATTTATTTATTTATTTATTTATTTATTTATTTATTTATTATTTTAACTTGAAACTTCTGAATTATTAATTCAATTGTGTAATAGGTGGGTGCCTGTTCAATTTGATTGATTCTCTGTCTCTCTGTGTCTCTGCCTCTGTCTCTCTGTGAGTGTATGTGTGTGTGTGTGTGTGTGCGCGCGTGCGTGCGTGCGTGCGTGCGTGCGTGTGTGTGTGTGTGTGTGTGTGTGTGTGTGTGTGTGTGTGTGTGTGTATGGTTTGTCCAAAATCAAAAATTATCTTAGAAATACTTATTGGGGATTATGAGATCGTATTGTGTCCCAGACTGTTTTTAATAGTTCTAAGAAGAAAAGTAGCTGTTCCAAACTGTTTCCACAGTTTTCTATAGCTCAAACAGTTAATTCAATTTGAACCAATCAACAGTGGCCTTTGCTCTGGGCCCAAGTACATCTGCAATTGAAAATTGCTGTTTTTCTGGTTTATGTCCACAGATTCCTTGTAAGAGTTTAGTTGAGTTCTCAGAAGCAAATTGTGCTCCAACTGTAGTTTCTTTTCTTTTTTCTTTCTTTCTTTCTTTCCTTATTTATGTTTTTATGAGATATGGTTCTCTGTGGAGCACTGACTATCCTGGAACTCATTTTGTAGACTAGGATGGCCTCTAAGTCAGAAATCCACTTGCCTCTGTCCCCTAAATTCCAGGATTAAGGGCATGAACCACCATGCCCAGATCCACTATATCTTGTTAAATTTACCTTTAAAACTCCTTTTGAGATGTTCATACACGAATTCTGTATCTTCCTACATTACACTCCTCTTGTGTTCCACCCTCTCAAAGTCATGGCCTCTTATTTAATTGTTTTCATATATGTATATATAATATTTTATGTCCATTTAGTATTATTCATAGGGACATTTGTTCAGGGCTAACCATTTGGTATTGTACATTCTATGTGGGAGCTCATTCTACCTGTCTCAGTAGCCATTGATCATCTGTAGATCTTCATGTAGGGTTGAGACCATGTGAAGTTTCCCATCCACATCAGGATTCCAACTGGTATTTCTAGTGCCAGGCATAGAAAACCTACACATGAGTTGTTGGTCAGAGGAGTACAAGAGTCTCCCTAAACAATATGGGATATTACAATTGTCTTTAGTTGTCTTCCAGAGCTTGAATGAAAGATCCTATTGCTGAAGACACTGCACACTTTGGACACAGGATTTGCATAATCCAAGCTGGAACTGATCTGAAAGCTTCCAATCTGGCATAGTTCTTATAGTATAGTAGTCTGCCAAGAGAAAGGAACAACCCATAGCCCTACCCAACTGTAAAGTCTATGAATCACAATGACTAGAGCATCAAGACATCTCCAGTGATGCCATAGTGGCACTGTCTTGCTTTTTTTTTTGGGGGGGGGGGTTGTAATTAACAGTGGTCTAATTGAATTTAAGGACATGCAATTGAAGGGAATTTGTTCATAATACTATACACCTATACAACTACCCATGGATGGAGAGATCATGGGTACTGGAGAACTTACTACAGCCATTATCCGAAACCAATATAATTTCTAACTGTATTCTAAATACTTTATTTCATGTACACAGATAAGTGCAGCTATCACTCCTCATCAAAGAAGCTGCTTTTTGCAACATATGAAAATGATTACAGAGATGCACAGCTAATCACAATACAGAGACTAAGGGGCAGTGGGCTGTCCAATCTCAACCACAATATCATCAACACAACCCTTATACCTAAGGTTCATAGAAAAGGCTATGGAAAGATTTTTAAGAACCATAGGACCAGGATGATTGTTGCTAAATAGTTTCCCCTTGGTATGGCAGAAGAAATGCACCCAGGAAATTGATTTTTTTTTCTTTTTTATGTTTGGGACTTTATGTATTTGAAGGAACTGGTCCATTTCAGCCTAGCTATGAAGTTAGTATAAAGCAGTTGGTCATGATGTCCTTCACTTGTTAGTATCTGCTGCATTGATAATTATGATCCTTCTTTCCTTTCTAAAATTTGTAAGTCTGCATCTTCTCCTTACCCCGGTTAACCTGGCTAGAGATATATAAATTATTGCTCTCAAAGACAAACCTTCAGTTTTATTGCTACTCTCTACTGTTTTTCTATTTTCAATTTCATTCGTTCCTGTCTTTTATTATTTCTTTTATTCTGCTTGCTTTGGGCTTGCATTTTTCTTCTTTCTTTATTTTCTAATGTGGAGGCCTAGTTATTAGCTTTAGGTCTTTTTCCCCTCACACTATATACACTTCATGTTATAAATTTTTCTAGAGGAACTTCTGTCTCTGCATGTGAAAACTTATAGTAATTTAAGTTTTCATTTTAATTTAGTTCAAAACATTTCTCACTGCTCCTTTGGCCCATGTGCCATTTTACAAGTTTATTCATCAATCTCTAAGTATTTGAGAGGATTTTACAGTTATCTTTTGTTACTTTTTTTAGTTTATTGTGTGAACAGAAAATATTTTATGTGATCTATATTGCTGTTTTCAATTTGTGTATTTTGTCAATAAATGTAATATATTTTTGTAAATATTGCATTTCAAGTGATCTAATTCAATACATTCATTAATTGTATGTTTCAATAAAAAATATACACTTTTGATTCGTTTTTACTAATGGTCATCTTATGAAAATGTCACTTTCTAGCTATGCAACTAATAGTTGTGTTACTTACTGTTGTATTGCTGTGAAGAGACACTACAACCAAGGCAACTCTGATAAAAGAAAGCATTTATTTGGGGGGCTTGCTTGAAGTTTTACAGAATTTGTCCATTGTCATCATGGCAAGGTGTGTGGCACCAGGCAGGCAGGCAGACATAGTGCTAGGAAAGTAGAGAGCTACATCATAATCTGAAAGCAGCAGGCAGAGAGAGAGACAGACAGACAGACAGACTCTCTCTCTCTCATACACACACAGAGAGAGAGAGAGAGAGAGAGAGAGAGAGAGAGAGAGAGAGAGAGAGAGAGAAACAGAGCCATGTATGGCCTTTGAAATCTCAAGTTTCACCCCCAGTAACACACCTCCTAACAAGACAACACCTAATCCTTCTCAAACAGCTCCACTAACTGGGGACCAAGCATTTAAACATATGAGCCTATGGGGATCATTCTCATTCCACCATCAAAAACTGTGTGTCGAGACTATACAAACAACTCAAAAAAAAAAAAAATACTAAACACCAAGAAAAAAATTAAAGCTTGAAAAATGGAATCATATAGAGTTCTGAAAAAAAGAAATACAAATGGTGTAGGATTTTTTTCAATGTTCATCATCTTTAGCTATCAAGAAAATGAAAATTAAAACTATTTTGAGATTTAATTTTACTCAAGTCAGAGTGCAAAGATCAACAAAACTAATGACACTCATACTGGCAAGTATGTGGGGAAAGAGGACAACTTAGTCACTGTGGTCAGAGTGCAATCTAATATGGACACAATGGAAATCAGTGTGAAGATTACTCAAAAAGGTGGAAATAGTCTATGCTATAATCTACCTATACCACTTTTGGGCATAAATCCGAAAGACTCTGTATCATATTATAGAGATACCTGCTCATGCATACACTGTTGCTGTATTCACAATAGCCAGGAAATGGAAAGTATATATGTCCATCAACTGTTGAATGGGTAAAGTAAATGTGCTACATTTACAAAATGTAATATTATTGAGTGATTAAAAATGATTTTATGAACTTTTAAAGCAATAGATGGAGCTGGAAATAAACATTTAATTGAGGTAACTCAGACCTAGGAAGACAAATGTTCTCATACGTGTATGCTAATTTTGAATCTTTAGATATATATGTTTAAGTTGGAGTACTCAAAGAAGTCAGGAAATCAGTAAGGATTCATGGGGTCCTTTCAAGAGTGGGAGATAGAATGCAGGTGGTATGAAGGAAGAATAATGTACAAGAAGGGTGTGAGAATGGAATGACTAACACTAAAGACCTTTGAAAAAGCCATATGGGAACATACTATAGAAGCGTTCTAAACTATAAAACTATATATATATATATATATATATATACACACACACACATACACATGGAGTTACCTTATAATAAGTGAACAGTGCTTTTCCCAGGCACTCTAAGCTATCAAATAAAAAGCCCAGGAATGAGCTACCTCTTTTGGAATTGTTGGTTAGTTAAGTTCAATAGATTCAAATATCATAGGCTATTGTCTTTGCTCTTGGTGATCCACTAGAACTTGATAGTAAGGCCCTATTGCTGAGGACATGACATATTTGAACCATAGAACATGGAGAAATATAATTGGTATTGACCAGGAAGTTTCCTCTCTGCTTGCTAGCTTTCAGAGTGCTGAAAGGTGCTATGCAGTTAGGCTGCTGGGTGAAAAAAAGTAGCCAACACCCTTACCCAGTTATGAAACCTGAGGGTAACAGTAATGAATGGCCTGGAAGGATATGTCCAGTGATGCAACCGTGGTGGCATAAACGTTATAGGAGTAACCAACAACTTTCTGATTGGATTTAATGTCTGCTCCACAAAACAGAACTCAGGTTTGACACTGACACATAGGTTATAGGCCCTAGGGGAGAACCTACTATTATTATTTTGCTAGATTGACACAGTATTAAACAAGTTCCTTAAAAAAGGTAAGTGTATCTTTCAGCCTTCATCAAAGAAGCTTTTATTTGTTGTAGAATTACAGAGAGGTAATGGGAAATGGACTTGATCAAAATACTTATATGCATATATGAAATTCTCCCAACAATAGAAATAGCTTTTTCCATGCCTCCCTCAAACCCTCTGATCATTGTTTTCTTTCTTTAGTGGGAACAACTGTTGTTAGAGTTTTCCTGCCTGGCCCACAGTCAGGACAAATCTCTCTCACCCGCCAGTCCCAAGCCGCTCAAACCCGATCAAGTAAACACAGAGACTTATATTGGTTACAACC